GTCGCATGGATAGAGTGAAATATACCCTCTGCAGGGTAACAAACACAATAAAAACAGAACAGACATAAATGGCAAATTAGATAATCCACACATGGATAATCGGGTGTATAATGTGCAACAAGCCAGAAGGTTGCGGGTTCAATTCCCAATGAGGTCATTGGATTTTTAAAACGATCTAATCCTTCCAGTTGAACTATGGCCCTGGGGTTGATGCAGCCTCTAAAAGAAATGAGTACTAGGAATCTTCCTGGGAGTAGAGGGCATCCAGACTGTAAGGCTCATAACTTATGCCATCTGTGAGCCGACTGTCTAGAAAATGTGGAAGCCTTGACGTCTCACAACCCTGTGGGCGTCCTCAGCCTGTTACAGATAGCTTTACCTTTTGTACTGCATATGAAATAATTGGATGGATAAACCAATAAAACCAAATTTATTCTCAGCTTTGTGTCTGAAAAATATCACTTGATTTAATACCAGAAATGGAGAAGTGTATTTCAGTCTGCAGGAAACATACTCTCCAAATTCATTCCTAACAGTTTTGCCTGCCTTATCATTCCATACTTACATTTCCTATTATTACTGCCAAAGCTAATAAATAAGCAGTACACACACTAAACTGTAGAAAGTCATAAATGCAACTGCTGAGAAGGTCAATAAACAGTTTGGTTGTTACTGTGAAAAGATGAAAATGTACTTCCTGTCATATTTAATTGAAATGACATACATTAAATTTGTTTTGAACAAAATAAAATATTTCCTTTAAGTTCAGTTTTGGGATGAAAAATACTGATATAAATGTCTTATAATCTTGGCAGGCATACAGTATCTTTATTCTTTCATTCTTTACGTCTATGAAACAACAAAGGCATTCGAATGGCCAAAAACAAATTACAGCATCCAATTAAGACGATGTTTTCTTGTGACAGGTACTGACAGTTTCGGAAGCATTCTACATAGTTTTTAAATTGTTCACTTGCCTAACTGGCATGACTCCACATACCTAGAGTGGGATTCCCATTCTAAAGCTTCCAATCTATCTATAGGAAGTTCAGCTGAGACACAACCCATACATAATGCATTCTGAGCAGGTCTTGGACTTTTAAACATCTGGGACATCAGTTTAATTAACAGTTTTAAGTAACTTCTTCTCTGGGCTGCGCCATAGCTCAAGCGGTTAGTCGCCGGCTTCCCACTGCAGTGGCCCATGTTCGATCCCGGGTCTGGTCAAGTGGGATTTGTAGTGGACAAAGTGGCACTGGGGCAGCTTTTCTCTGAGTACTTCGGTTTCCCCTGCCAATCTTCATCCCACCAATTGCTCCACAATCACCTTCACCTATCATCTGGGGCTGGTACAACAGGCCAGAAGTGGCCGCAGAACAAGGGACTTAGTCCCACCCCACTAGCAATAAAAGAAACTTCTTCTCTGCAATACTGATCACAAGAGTCAGTTTGATTATAAGGTTTTGGAAGGAGGCTAATATTAATCAATTTGTTATTTCATCCCTGTGCTCTCTGACATAACATGATAAAAATAAAACCTGGCTTAAGGTCAACATAAAGAGTGCATTGTCTACTGTCATTGCCCCTTCTTGCATAACTCTCCAACTTCCATGTGGGATTGAAAACTTACTTTCATTTAGGAATGCAAAAGTCCATTCCAGCAATAATAAATGGATCTAATTCTGAGTAAGTTTAATTCAATCCTCATCATTACATTATTTTTCAATCTATTATTCCTTCTTTTCAAGGACATTTCTTTCAAAGTTTCTCAACAAAATATTGTAGGTATATAAAATTTAAGATTTGCACTGATCATCACTGCTTTGTCTTAAATCATTTTCTATTTCTATTATTCTTGTTCTACTAAAATAATGGTTAAACTAATTGTTCCATACATAAGAGAAATATGCCAGAATGTATTACATTATTGTATTTATTATTTGATATTACATTATTATTTATTACATTCCACTTTTGTCTCTGTCTTCAGGCTAGCACAGCAGTGACAAGGAAGGTGATTATAATGGGAAACTGAGAAGGATATAAACAGAAGTGACTATGACACTTTCAAGGTACTGTCATAGATTCAAGCATAATGACTAGCTTCTGGGTTGAGAGAATCAAATTTTTAACCTACTGAATTTGAAACTTGAGCACTAGCCATTCATCTGCGACATTCAACCCATAACTTTATAACAATTTATTCTGAAAACAAAGAAATGACATTGAAAATAAGCTGAAGTTTAATATCTACTTTACTGAACTAAGGCCAAGGTATCAAGTGTAAGGCAATGCTTATTTGCTGAAACTGCTATTTGTTGCACAGGGCCATGGTTTACTGGGAGAGACATCAGATTATATTTAAACACAATGCCAAGCCACTAAGGAAGGCCACTCTGCTCTCTACATCTCTGTTTGACAGGTTATCCTCCTCATCTTGCCTGCATCACTAAATTAGCTCTACACAAGTTTGTTTATAATGAACTGAAGACAGCAAAGTCTCTGCAGATCCCATCAGAGCTAAAATTAGACATGCAAAGCTTGCAAATACCAGGTCAATCTAAGATTTTTGATCTTCATAGCAATGAAAACTGAAACTGTAGTCCCAATTTTATAGCAGTTTACTCAAAGGCGTTGTCAGCAACTCAAGACTATATAGTGCTGAACGGTAAGATGACTGATGAATGAAAAAGACTGGAAAGGATTTGGAAGAAAGCAGACATGGAATAATTTGAGACGCTATTCCCACAGCGACTTGGAAGAACTGAAGGAAACCATGAAAAGCTAAGCCAGGATAGCTAGTGTCCCAGGTGAGATAAGAACTGGTCACTTCCAAATACAAGTAAGAAACATTACTGCTTGAGTCTAACTGTAGTCTTCTCAGTCATGAGACCATATAGTCCTGCAGATGGGAATATCTGTCCTGAAGATAAAGGCTCTGGCTTCCTCAAAACTTTGGTAACCACCTATGAGACTACATGGTGTCATGACTCAGAAGATCACAATCCAAGCTAATCCACAAATTCTTAACATGGCACTTGATGGTGGTGGTGAGAAACTTCATGCTTCAGCTGTTTTAATCTTGGGAAAAGAATCCATGATACAAATTGGATAGGAGTCAGGATGGCTCCTAGAGGTGGTCTGGATGTGAAAAAAATCTATGCCTCTGTTTGGAATAGAAACTTGGTAGTCCCACCTGTGCCGGTCACGGTAGCCGAGCGGTCTAAGGCATGCACTGTCTTCGCTCGCTCGGAAGCTGGGATCGTGGGTTCAAATCCCACCCAGGGCATGGATGTTTGTGTGCGTTTTTCTGTGTTTGTGTACAGGTAGAGGCCTTGCAGCAAGCTAATCACCTGCCCAAGGAGTCCTACCGTATGTCTAAGATCTAGTAAAACCGAAGTGAAACGGAGAGTTTCATGGAGGTAGGACTAGGCCTAAATGTGGGCTGTAGTTCCGATGAAAAGAAAAGAAAATCCCACCTGTAGTGAGCCACTATACTGACTGACCTATCTCCACTCATATGCTGGTGACAGAAAATAAAAAGTATGAAGTGATCTGTCAGACATTGGCAAGTTATTCATACCAAATTTCACTAAACCCATCAGCTGGTTAAAAGTATCTACACAGGACGATGCACACACACAGGCATGATACCAACAAACGTATATTTCCTTATGAAATAAGGAAAGGAGATTACAAATTTATCACTTTTATTGCAAAAACTTTCTAACAAGTCTTAAAATGTAAGAAAAGTGCAAGAAATATGCCAGAGTGTACTTGCAGTAGCTTGGCATGCAAATGAAGTGTTCTAGCCTTACAACTGTGTAGCGGCCCACTGGGCATCCTGCCACAAACAGATTGCTTATTCTTATGCTGGCTGTTCGTTCATCTCAGTACAGCTTCCATGTGGCTATTATTACTAGACAGCTAAAGCATGCTTCAAATACGCCAATGAGATGCTGACTGCTGGTGTCACTTGCACGTTGCTTATCAATGAGTTAGCAGGGCTGCGTATTGGTTTTACAAACTGTAGATCAGGCCAGAAGTAAACCGACTGAGAAAAACTGTACTTGCTAGATGACTGGGTATATCAACAGCAGTCTTCTTCTGAGTCTGGAGACCTATGTTCTGTTCCACCTCAAACTATTTAACTACGTTTACTGCAAGAGTACAGTATGTGCCAAAATTTGCAGTACTGAAACTCGCGCATGTGTGTTTGTCGACAGGGCATAGCTCCAGCTGCACATGTTCACAGTAGTGAAAAGGAAGTTGTGTTGTGCAGCTGTTGTTGGAAATGGGTCTCTCGACAGAGGAAAAAGTATTCATAGTTGAGTATTATTTCCGCTCATACGGAAGTGGTCGCCAGAAAACTCGCTTCCTTGGTTTTGAGCGGCCAAATGTTATCATCCAGAAACCGCTACATAGTACATGTGTGACGATATGGTGTGCCATCTCAGCACATGGTATATTAGGCCCCTACTTCACTGAGGATGAGGAAGGCAATGCTCTTAACGTCACCCAAGAATGCTACAGGGACATGGTGATCAGACCATTTCTTCAGGATTTGAGGAAGTTCTGTCATGCAAGGGGCCTTCACATACACAGACAGTGGTATCAACAGGACAGCTTTTCATTTCAGTACTGTATATTTTGGAGCATACTGTACTTCTCACACAGAATCTTTTGATTATTTACAATCTCTTAAAGAAACTAACTTCCTCACTCTGTAACTAAGGAAAAGAGAAGATGCCCCAAACTTAAAGATTAAGGATGTGCCAATGTACTGCCTTGTCGGGGACATTATACACCTTGGAGGGGGGAGTGATTGACAAATACTGAGCAATGGTGGAATGAAGACTTGTAAGGGAAAACCGGAGAAATACAGAAGAAACTGCGTCAGTATCACTTTGTCCTCCGGGTATCCCATATGCAGCCACCCACCAAGGCTAGACCAACAGTACTTAGTAAATTGTTCAGACCAAGAAATGCAGACTACTCACCTTGGCTTCAAGTCGGTCATTATCGTGCTTGAGATGTGTTCTTTCCTGCTCCAACTTCTCCACCTTGGCCCTCAGTTGTTCCAGTTCTTCCTGTAGACAATGTCACTGTTTATTATCAACGTTTTCATACAGAATAAACTGCATTTTAAAAGGCTTGCAGCATATGGAATTATTATGTCCCCAAATTAACAAAACTTCAATATGACAACTGAGGTTTTCACAGCACTAAAAACATAGACTGTGCTCTACTGGATTTTGATGCCACATAGGCTTGCAGGTAGTCACCAATGCTCTGGAGGAACCTGCTGTCTCCTTCTTTCACCAAAACAAGAGAGATGACAAGATCCTCTGACATGTTTGTAACCATCTAAAAGATAATATGGTGTCCTAATCCAGATGACTACAATCTAAAATATTGGTCATTCTGTACATGTTGGAACATAACCCCTGGAAGCTTTCTTTTCTGAGTATACTACTGGGCCAAAGAACCATATTTAAGACAGATGCCATGATTCTGACTTGAAAACAGCTGTTGCAGGGGTGTTAGAAAAATACAAGTCTAGACTGTTATGACTATGCCAGCCTATTCAGGCATTTGTTCACTGAAAAACAAAACTATCAGTACTAACATCACAGACAATCTATACCTGTTCAAAATATTTACTTTCTTGGCTATGACAATTTTAATAAAGAGTGCTCCAGCTTAAAAATTCACTAACAGATACTCATGTGCACCTTCATTCTTTATTCATTTACATGCAAATTTTAAACTTGTTACTAAGCAACTAATGTTACTCACTGTTTTGATTTTTAGCTCTTCCTCTGTGCGATGCACATTGAGAAGTGGAGTAACCCTCACGAGAAGTCTCCACCACGGCCAGTCACGTACTGACATAAACTTGCGTACATTCCTCTGGATACAGCGTACAGCCAAATCCTGAATCTGTGGAAGACAAGAAAATAAGAACGTGTGAATATTTTTCTGCAACACTTTAAAATCGCTGACTTGTACATATTTTTAGTATTGTCTGAACACCTGAAACAGGGAGAAGATGGACACGTGCCTGATATTTGGAAAACAAGAAATGTACAGACTGATGGTGAATTTCAATTCTCAGGATATGGGAGGCCATTACATGATTAGCCACTTGTAACAAACATTCAGGTGGCCTTGTATAATGTCCTTAAAGACTTGGGTTGCAGTTACCTTGAGTTTATTAAGCTTCCGTCGAGCAAGATAACCACGGCACCTTGCCTGTAGTCGGACGACATTATCTGTGAGCCTCTCATCTCGCTGAGCTTCCAGTTGAGCCAGTACACCAGAACGGAAGAATATCTGCAACGTAACAGGAAGTGATGTAGAAACTGTTTAGAAATAATAAGAAACAAATGAAGGTGTCTGAGGATGAAGAGGAGTACATCTGCACCTAAGAAAAATGAAGTAACACAGAAATAAAGAAAATTACACAATGATGAGCTTAATAATTTGTACTCATCACCTACTAATGTTCACGTGATTAGATCATCAAGGATGGAGTAGGACATGTAGCACACATCAGGAAAACAACAAAAACATTAAATATTAAAATGCACCTTAGATAAAACTTGGTGTATGTGAACTGGACTGAGTTAGTTTGGAAGAGGGCCAGAAAAAAATATCCTGTTAGTTGGTCGGTCAGTCAGAAATGAGAAACAACACTTGAGAAGTTCTTGTGCACAAAGGGAAGTCTTAAAATCTTATGTATGAAATTACAAACTACATATTCTCATCTCATCTAATATATATAAATATGCCATTTTCCTGTTTCATTTTCTATCATGGACCTAACAGAGAACCTTCAAAGGATATTAAGAAATTTATTCTGTACTCTGACCAATACTGTTAAAATAGTGAGCAAGGACTGCAGAATTTCTTAATTTGTGTGATATTTCTTTCTTACAATTTTAGATACTAAGAAGGCAACCAAATCTAAAACAAGAATGGATACTTCTAATAATTCATATTCAAAGCTAGAATTGTGGTGAATTCTTTACTGATAAATCTGTATAGTAAATAACAAATCAGTATTCAGAGTAAATGAATGCAAACAAAAGGTCTTCAAACTACTTACAATACCAAATTATTACTATTTATAAGTAGTGAGCTTCTTTGTTATCACAAAATTATCATAAAAGAGAATATTCAGATAAGTGCATTAGATTAACAGTAAGGCCAGAGACAAGAAATCCTTCACCAATCCCTGCCCAAACCAATTTCACTATATGCTTTAGTGATATTCTAAATAAATTTAGGATGCTTAAACTGTAGACTGGCATGTTTGGATGTGGCGATGAGAAGAAAAATTCCCTCCAGAAATCAAACCCTAGCTGCACAGCCTATACTAATCATGCAAATTTTGAGGTTCTCGTGTTAGTAACTATGAATATTGCTATCTCCTGGGATGTGATGTGAGGTAGTTTGATATGTCATTATCATCATTTTTGAGAAAGGTGTTACTTCCAGCTTCAGGGCAGACAAGTAAACAAAGTGTCTTCAATATTCCTACTGGTTTCCTCATAGTCCCAATCACCCTCTCCCTATAACTGTACCATTTTTTCCACTCTTGGCTTCTTCTTTCATATTGTAGATGGGGACAGAAGATTTCTCCGAAACATCTGTTAATGATCTACCAGACTTCATTATGACACATCCCAGAAGACATCTTTGTGGCCAGTCACTTTACCAACTGAGCTAACCTGGCTCACACTTATTATGAAAGTTCAATGAGAAGATGAAGAAAGATAAAGTCTGCAGTACAGTTACATTAAGAGTCTGCAATGAGGGCTAATTACATAAATCATACCTCCAGCTCTGTTCTGTACCGACAGCTGGATACCTGCCGACCAGTACTGGCACGTACAACACCTATTCCTCCAGTCTCCACATTTCCTAACCCCAACACTGCACCAGTACCGAGGCACTGTACTGAGTCACCCTCACAAACACTTTGCTCTAACACCACTTGATTGTTATTTAACTCTTTTTCTGACTTTGATGATGTTCGGTACATCTTTTCCTTGAAACTTACAACTTTAGGCCATTCACGTTCCTTCACTGCTTTGCTACACAAGTTAACTTCACTGTTCGTTCTACAAACTACAGACTGTGACTCTTCTCCATTGCCATTTTCTACAGCATCCTTCAAGTGCAACAGACTGCATGGTGCAGACTTCAATCTCCCTAATTCAATTTTTTGAAAGACCTCATGATTTTTATCCTTCATTGTTTTAAAACTGTTGCTGTGATTTGAGGTGAGCCTATTCTCCACTCCACCTTTCTTCACACTGAACAGATTGGCATAATTACACTCACTGCTCCTGGTCACAGAACTCATGGTGTCACATTCCTTTTCCAAAGCCTCATACTTCTTGAATAGCTCTTCCCAACTCTGCTTCAGGCTTCTAGTGATCTTCTTCTTCTGTTCCCTTTCTTTCTGAATCTCTTTTCTCCTCTCTTCTGCAGCAATTCCGTCCTCATACAAACTCACAAGGCAGTCTACGCTGCGTAGACCAGTTGGAGTTTGACATAGTTTTGGTATCCTGCTTGGTTTATCATTGCTGAAAGTTGGTGGTGAGGACTGAAGGCTCTTCAACTTAATCTTTGGATGAAGGCATAATCGATTTATGGGCAAAGCGGCCTTTCCATTGACACTCAGGGATACAGGTTCTGCCTTTGAGGGGGGTTCTTTTGAATTTATTATCTTCCCCTCCTTATTAAAGAACTTCCTTCTAAGAGAGACAGGTAAAGGAGGAACTGGTGGGGGAATATCATTACAGCTCTCTAACTCTGAAGAAATGCTAACTGTAACCTTTACTCCTGCTGCAGGCTGATTTTGGATATGTTTCTGTTTAATTTCTCGCCATACAAGACTTTTGCCATTGAAATCCTTCATCCTTGATGGTAACAAGGGAGAATTCAAGCTTACATCTTTCTGGCTACTGGCACAATTAACTACAATGACAGTGGAAGAGAGGGGTTCATTCTCTGGAACAGGTTTGTCTATGGGGAGTTCAGCATTAGTGTTAGTATGAATGTTTTCTTGGCTTCCAGCAGAACTGACTGCAATTATAGTTGATAAATTGTTGTTGGAACTATTTACACTTCCACTGAAGGTTGATACACTGGGAAGAAAAAGTGGTTTGTCAACTTGTTTTCTTTCACCTGCATGAGCTGAACAGTTAGATCCTGAAATGACTGGCAACTTTTCCACAATGTCTTGTTCTTTACTGGAAGACCCATTTTTTAAGAGTTGTTCAAGGAAGACAGGATTAAGAGATGTTTCTGGCTGTACGCCATTATTATTATTATTATTCTTATTTACTGTCCAATAAGACGAACCGTTCTGACCTTTCCCATGTGTTGCTGCCTGTGGCTGACAAGAGAGTTCAGTTCTGTTGATCTTCATTGCCACAGCCACGACACGTGGTGCATGTTCACTCCTATCTGAGGAATCATCACTGCTGCTGTTACCACTGTTTGATCCCTTTTTAGGCAAATTACCATCATTACCTTTCCCCTTCACTGTGCCATTCACTTCACCATTCAGAGTTCTTTCATTTTCTGCTTTGTTCCTCCATGTTGGAAGAGATTTCAATGCTGATGAAACATGCTGGCCATCGTTGATGAAGAATTCCCGTACACTGTTAACACTAGTTTCTTTTTCCCATTCTGGAGAAGGCATGATGACTTGATGGCACGTGCTGGTAATACTGTACAGAAGCAATATCAGTGCCAGCACTAAGAATACGATTGTTAGTAACAGAATCCAAAATAAGGTCGATGTTAGTTGCAAATGCTGTAGCATAAGCATGTGGTTATCACCAATCAATATTCTGCTGGTAATCCATAAAATGACTCTTTATCTTAAATCATCATTCCGGATGCACATTGATTTCAGTGCTTCCATTTTCAAACATCAAAAATAGAGTGTCTGAACGTACTTCTATAAATACTGCATCACACATGATTAATAGTTCCTGGACTTCCTTCTTCAACAACACTCAAAAAACGTCCCCAAAACATTAACACTCATGTCAACTACATGATATGCGACATCATATATTCAGAACTGATAGAGCTCTTACTCACAATGAACATATTATAGAAAGATAACAAAAATAAGTATGATTTTTGCTAAAATCTGAAGATATGTCTTCATGATGATGCTTTTAATTACAAAATGCAGACTGAACAGCAACAGGACTAAAATTCACATTTAAAAATATTGCTTGCAACGTTTCACTGGTATTATGTACAGATAAAGACCAATGCACTCACATAGCATTTTGCTAATAGTGCCAGGTAACTTTGCTAAAATTAATTTTCATATTTTTGAGAAACTTTCACTTATTTTTCACTGACAAAAATAACTCATATTATGCTGTTTATTTTTTGTTTCATCCAGTGTATGGTCTTCTTCGGCATATGTGCTTTCCCATGTGAAGTTCAAGACAGTTTACTTCAGCTGCTGGCTCTCAGATTTGTAGTTTGGTTATACTTGTATATTTGTTTGTGAAAACATTTCCCCAAAGTGCCGGGGGGATATAAATCATTTAGGTCGGCTAGAGTGCAATATGGTTTCAAAGAAAATTTCAAGTTTTCATTCTTCCACAGCTTCTTATTAAAAGTGCATCAACATTTTCAACCATTTTCAAATAATCATACTGTAATTCCTGAATGCAAGAAATTCTTTCCACAAATTTAAAGACACCAAGAAACTGCACAATTCCTTGAGGTTGTAATTTATAAAATATTCAGACATTATCTGCTACGGTATAACTTTGGAATTTAATGGAAAGTTAAGAAAATAATAAATATGAAAATATGGTTTTTGAAAACATTCAACTATCTTCCACTGTATGCTTAAAAGTTCCATAAGACACTCCTTTTAAAACTTTTTCAATTAAAAAAAGCTGCAGATAACAGTTTGAATGCCAAGAATAAAAAGTCCTCAATTGTGCAAGGCATTGATGGTATAAAATCATCAGTCCACATATAGTGAAGCCATCTTCAGTAGTAACACAAATATTTATTCTCAGCAGGCAAAATACCAAATATCACAAACAAATTTTCAGGAATGTCAATTTTGGTTTTGTTCTTCATGCAACACAACACAAATACACTAATATTTCACCACTTGTTTTGAACACAGGATCTCAGACTTCAGTGCCATCAGCAGAAACCACTACATGCTGCTGTGTGACAGCAAGTAGGCAGCATAATAAGAGAACCACCTGGCCAACTGGAGAGCTCACAGTAAACTAACTGCCTTCCTCCACCGCAGTATTCTGCCCTCA